GCGTTACAGACTTCAGCTCCCTTCAAGTTCACCAAATTCGCATTTTGAAAATGCACAAATCTATGGGTGGACGTTGGCGTTACATACGTCTAGTCTCCTTTCAATTTAAGAATTCACAAGGCAAATCTACCCAAATCTGTGAGTGGACGTTGGTGTTACATACATCTAGTGAATCTAGTGTCCTTATAGTTTAAGGTTTTCAATACAATTTAAAGTTAGACAAACCTGGGGGTGGACTTTGGCGTTATATACGTCTAGTATCCTTTCAGCTTTAAGCGTGCGCAATGCAAAGATACTTAAATCTGTGGGTGGATATTGATATTATATACTTCTGGTGTCCCTTCAATTTAAGAATTTATGATTTCAAGATTTAAAAATCTGTGTATGGACCTTGGAATTAAATCCTTCTGTTATCCTTTCCATTTGAGAGCTCACAACAATACAAAGATTGGCAAATCTGTGGGTGGACATTAGAGATATATACTTCTAGTATCTTTTCAGTTTAGAAATATTTATAATATAAAGATATAGAAATCTGTAGGTAGACATTGGTATTATATACGTCTAGTATTCTTTCAGTTTAACAGTTTATAATATATATATATATATGAGGGGGCACGTTGTCGTTTCATACTTCTTGTATCCTTTGAATTGTCAACGCTTACAATAGAAAGATGCACAAATCGATGGAAGGACGTTGGCGTTACATACTTCTAGTGTCCTGTCAGTGTAACAGTTTAGAATACAAAAACACATAAATCTGTAGGTGGACGTTGGCTTTAAATATTTCTAGTATTCTTTCAGTTTGAAAGTCTACAATACAAAGATAAATAAATCTATGGAAGGACGTTGGTATTATATATTTCTAGTATCCTTTCAATTTAAGATTTTACAATTCAAAGATATTCAAATCTGTGGGTGGACTTTGGCGTTGCATGCTTCTAGTGTCCTTTGAGGTTAATAATTTATGATATAAAGATACCTAATTTTGTGGGAGCACGTTGGCGTTACATCCTTCTATTGTCCTTTCCATTCGAGAGTCTACAATTTAAAAATACCCAGGTCTAGGGGTGGACGTTGGCCCCACATACTACTTCTAGCGTCCTTTCAATTTAGAAGCTTATAATATAAAGATATACAAATCTGGGGGTGCACGTTGGCGTTACATACTTCTAGTGTCCTTTCAGTCTAGGAATTTCTAATACAAAGATAGACAAATCTGTGGGGGGGATATTGGCGATATATATGTCTAGTGTCCTTTTAGATTAAGAACTTATAATATAGAGATACTAAGATTGAGAAGGCTGGGCAAACACAACTGATTTGGAAAGCAGCAAGCCACGTGCTGCGGAGCTTTGGACAAAAACGATGTCTGATCCCCAGCGTTTTCGATTCGAAGGGAAGCAAAAGACATAGATTCTGGCTGGATAGAATAGTATTCTCACCAATCTTCAATTGCTTGAAGTGCCTGGCCAATTTTCCCAAGATTTCCTTATAATCTAGATCCATTTGGGAGTGATATCATATGACGCAACGAAATGATTCTCATAAATAAAGCTTTCACACACCATTTTCAATAAAGATTTCATTCCCTTCAACACACAAGAACATACCCAGCCATTATTTCAACAATCTCTACCGGTACCCAGGAATAATCAAAAAGAATCTGGATATATATATATTTAGATTTATATTTGTGGAGCACTAATTTCAGAACCCCAGTGGCTTGGACCATCCATTATTTTGTCAGTTGAAAAACTCTAAAAACGGCAGCGTTTTGCGGCGTTTTTTAAATGCAGGTATTTTGATGGAGCAGCATTTACTTGCAATCTTCAAGAAGCTTCCAGATGTTCGTTCCAATTTCGAAAGCTTCGCAACCCAATAGAATTATAACTCAGCAACACAAACCTGGCCCCACTGTGAGAATAAGAAATTTCCCAATTACATGGGATGTTGCAGAACGTGTTTTTTTCTCCATGGAATTGTAATTTCAAATGTTTTACTCCGTTGACATAACGATCAGACCCCTGATAGATTTTTCGTATATATCCCTTCATTTTTTGGCGGGGGTTCTCATTATCACTAGATTGATGCCATTAAAAAGTCCAGTATCTCCCCATCAATGAAACATCTATATTTTCGTGGCAAGATTTTAAAATCCGAACCACAATACTATTAATAGCTAAAATCCTTCACCAACTAAGATGTATAAAACCCTATAAATAATGAGATAAATTACCAAACTCAACTAATTAGCCTAATTTCGACCATCAACAGTAGTAGCCATTTTCTGGGTGGCCTTTTATACGAAGACTGTATCGCTACCAATTCTAACGACATACCGTAGCATCGCGACAGAGATCAAGACAAGCGCGGATAGCTTAAAGGCGAGATATTCGCATCCCTTTCAATATAGATTTTAGTAGATTTAAATATCACCTTCGGTGAGCTTTCACGTCATTTCGATGAAGCAGATATTCCTATGAGCTTCCACCTATAAAAATTGCATATCTAAAGAATACCTATTATTAGTCACCATAACAATTAACAGTATATTTGAAAGGATTACCAATCTCTCACTAAAAAGAGCTTGCAAGTCACATATCATCATAGATGGATATAATAATATTACTTGCATATGTATGTAAATATCACAGTCGTATGAAAGAATCAGAAAGACCAGAGGAGGGAACACTTTGACACCATCCAGACGTCACGGAAACAGCCGCATGAATCACGCTTGAAGCATGCTATATTAATTTCCCAAGCTTGTCACTCACTAAGATCTAGCAAATGCATGTAAATGCTCCCATTTATTTTTCCCTTCTCCTTCCGCAAGAGCTATAGAAGCAGTCCCATCCAAGGGTATAGAAACCATTCGTCAAACTTACTGACTCATCTAAAAATTGACCCAAAAACAAAATTCTGGGGTCAGTCATGAAAATTGATGCACCGGGGAAACCTCAATTTGGGGATAGGATTTAACAGGCCATCCTTGCCCATCCAGGCTTGTGGGACAAACGCTAACGGCTCAGCCGGGGGTCCGAATTTTGGCACTGTCAACCCGTTGGATTTCAAATTTCAGCAAGGCGCCTTGCATTTCAGTGACTGCTGGCAGAATCGGCAGAATTTCTGGGCTTTCAGAGCGGTTTTGCAAACAACACAACGACAAAATATATCAAAATATAAGATGCCAGCTACAGTATCTGTAGACATTTGATGAGATCTAGTCATCCTTATGCTGTTCCTTGATCACACATAGCCTTTTGTAAAAAAAAATGTTTCTGCTTTGGTGGTCTGTCTGTTCTGCTTTGCTGTTTGTCCGGTTTCCTTTCGATCTTGCATCATCTCAATGACTTGAACGCACCCAGACTCCCTGCTGATCTCTGAGGTCCTTGCAATACTTCGCAAAAGGCTCCCAGTACAAATACTTGCCCGGCTATCGCCATGCTAGTTCAAACAGTTTGTTTACAAAATCCCACATCTCTCCCTCGCTCCAAGAAGTCTGGCCTTCAGGAATTTGCCCAAGAGTTGCTTGATGATGGCCTGGAATGGAAGCTGAGGTAACATGAGGTAACCCCTTTCGCTTCTCTGCAAAAAATTAGCCAAGTTGGATTTCCATTGGATTCGACAAAACTGTTGACATCCGGACAACGATCTCTCCATCAGAATCTACCAAATCCAAAGTTGATTGAAATGGAGTGAAAAAACGTCAAAAATGGCTGTAGAAGCATAGATCAGATCATCTAGAAATTATACAAATACATCACCGTACAGAAATGGGAATACAAGAGGACCACATGTCAAAAACCGGCAGAATTCCTTCACTTCAGGCGTTTCTATGCTACTTCCAGGTAGAATCCGAACCTCACCGAGCCAAAAGGCACCCACCTGGCGTCAAATGTTGCATCTATCAGCTTGACGATTTGCACCGATCCCTCACAAAAGATTGACAAGTTGGCAACTTCGACAGCAGAGCCGAGACCTATGCAAGCAGCTCCTTTTCGCCACATGATCGGGGTCACTCCAACTCTCAATCAGACCAATCAGTCGTTCTTGGAGGCATCTCTAGCGGGCGAAGACCTTCGTCTGAGATCAAGCGCTCGGTTTGCTGAACCACATCTGGGACCATGAAGCTTTGTAGCGCGAGGTAGTTGACTCTGCCAAGAGCAAACCAGTTCAGCATGTCATATTTCAGTTTATCACCATCGATCTTTGAGTGGAAAAGATCGAAAAAACCTGGTTCCAACGTGTGGGCCGACTTCAAGTAATCCGCATGGTTTCCCGCAAACTTCCAAAAGTTCAGGGCGTGATGAAAGGAGGTTTTCACTCTGGCCATGTCCTGAATCAGCGGCTCAAGCACCTTCATTTGCCGCTGCACTTCCGCTTTGTCTCCCTGCGGCATCTCCACAGCTTTGCCCTGCTTGGCCGCCTCGGCCGCTTTTTTTTCCGCGGCTTTGATCCTCGCTTGGTCGGCAAAGGCATCATTTGCTGCCCTCGTTGCTTTGAGAGCCTTGGGGACAAGGAGCTCAAGTTTCTTTTGCATTGCCGTTGCATTGAGCAGAAGCTCTTGGGCCAAGTCTACACAGCCCTTGAGGCTCTCAAAGATCATGGTTGAATAGACTCCCTTTCGCTCAAAGTCATACTTCGGGTCAAACTTCCCGTCGTGCCAGTCAAATTGATCTTCAAAGATGTTGAGGGCTATGTAATAAGATCTCAAACCTTTCATGGAAATCGCCACAGCCTCTTGGTGCAGGACAATCATTTGGTTGAGGACTCGCTGAAAGGACTCAGCCACTTCCTGAATTTCTGGAGCACAAGGCTGATATTGCGCGCTGGCATTAGCCAGCTGCAAGAGCTTCCCTGCTTGCGCAAGGCCCTCAACGACCGGTGCAGCTCCATAAACGTCTCCCAAGATGCCTCTTACACTTTCACGGACTGGATCGGAAAGATTTGCAAAACCTTTCGCGGTTGTCCCCTTGACCATGACCTGAAACACTGGCCATTCGGAGTGTATGTTGAGCTTGGCCGACAAGCGCGCTCCTTCTGCCGGGTAGCAAAGTGTGGCACAAGAAAGTAGAGCCAATGCCCAGAATGTCGGGGCAGTCATGGCTCCGGAATTTGGCAAAGAATTGAGGAAGTCACAAAAGTCACAACCGCTTGAGCCGAGTTAGCTATGCTTGATATACTTGCTACTTACTCTTTGGAAGGAAAGAGTCCAAACAACTTAGTTTGCGCTTCAAAAAGTGTTTCTTTACAAGATGGCAAACATCTTCACGACCACCTCGAAAAGGACTGACTCGTATTATATAGTTCTGAGGATTTCTGCGAGTTAAATTCAGACACAACTGTGGCTGCAAATGTCCTCAGGGGCCCCCGCAGCACGGAAGACATAGCAGCGCCAGCTGCGAGCTGACGGCTTGTTGAACCACCTGTGGTGTGGAGCATTTCTATCCCCAAATCAAGGCACCCTTTCTGGAAAAAATCGGCTCAAGAGACCAACGCTGATTTTGGAACAGGGATGGTCTACTTGAAGTAATCATCTTATCAAACAAATCTCTAGATTCTAAGCCACCAATCTCCAACCACAAACGCGAATTTGTCTAACGTCAAAGTCCTTGAACTGGATCTTGTCGAACCCGAACTCGTTGCTTACCTACTCTGCCTTTATTTGTAACGCTACACCTCCAAGTCAAATAAAGAAACATAATCTGAAGATGGAACTGGGCCCTAACATTGCAAAACATCTTCTCAACATCAACAAAATTCATTAGAAATTTCTGCAAGTCACCTTGGATTACAATTGCATATGTTTAACCGTACCGTTAAAATTGGAGGACGGGTGAAGATGAGTCAAAAATGAGTCAGCCTCAGCTGACTTCAGTTGAAGATGTTTCTACCTAGAAAGTTCTAACTGAAATTGATCAAATGCAACAACCGGAAAATACTAAAACTGCTAAGAAGGAGAGACGTCTCCAACTTGTCAGCCTCTACCTCCAACGTCAAAAAAGAAACCACAAGCGACATGGGAAAATCTTGCAGGAAGAATGTACACATCCCTGAACAGTGTGAAGATGTCCACACCTGTTTTTGGTCAATAATTCCCTTTTCCTATATAACTGTTTCAATACTATCAAATACTATCCCATACTGTTGATGGAAGAAATCCTGCACCAGCTGGGATGGTTGAAACCCTATAAATTAAATAATGGGATAAACATCATCCGCGGTGGTGCAGGATTTTGTCCATCAACAGTATCCATCTTCAATTTTTCCATGCCCCTCCGGTCATTCCCTGGAAGTCTTCAAAAACTCCCAAAAAATCCACCTGTCATTGTAGCAACGTTGCAGTGGAGTTTGGGCTGGAACGGACCTCCACATCACCTGGAAAATTCCAAAAAAATCAATTCTGGGATCCCGCATCATTCCCGAAAAATTTGCCACTGTTTTGGGGTGGCTCAAGAATTTGCCTGCTTGGTGGTGGTTGAACCACCCATCTGAAAAATATGCTCGTCAAAATGGGTTCATCTTCCCAGTTGTTGCAAAACATTTCTTTTTTTAGATCCTGCCAAAAAAACTGCACATCTGCCACATCTTCATCAGTCTTGCAACTTTGTTGCAAGCAGTTTCATACCTGAACCCCTACTGCATGTTTCTTTGGCTCAGCCGATCAAAATGAAAATCTTCCCTTTTTCTTCGCGGCCCTAGAGCCCTTCATTTTATTTAAAGAAAAACATCCTTGCAACAAAAACTCATGCGTTTCACATCAAACTCCGTTTAAAACAACAACAACAACAACAACAAAACGTCAGGTCATTCAGTGGCCCCTTTGTTTTGGTGACTGTAATGTAATATTACTGTATATATATATATATATATTGTTTTATATATTTCACCCTATCTGAACCTAAAAAAAAACCTCCAGCAAAATTTTCTCCAAAAAAAAATCGCCTGGCAAAGGCCAAGCCGTATGGCCTGACTTGGATGGCCGGGTTGTTTTGGGGAGGGGGTTTAACCCTTCATATATCAACAAAGATTGGAAATACACTAACCCTAGGGGCTTTAGGGGTTAACCCCGATATTAACAACAGGTTTTTTTCGGGAAATATTAAACAACAAAGATTTTGATTGGAATATTTGAAAATGTTCTCTTATAAAAGTCATTTAGCCATTTAATTTGGAGAAAAATCGACAATTTTTTGAATTCGCAGAAAGGGTATGTGTGCACCAATGTTGAATACACAAAACATTAACCTAGGAATGTACACAGAACGGCTACAGTATGCGAACTACCGGCAACGGTTGCATATTTCTAGCATGTCACCTATTAGGTGCCTCCGACAGTTCAAAAGACATCGCCATCTAAAATGTGTCAGGTCAGAAAAAGATTGCTTTCACTACCTTTGGTTATCATGAATCTGTTTCAGAAACTCCTGCACCTGATTTTTTGTCCAACAGATGCCACCCTGCGGTTTTTGACCAAACATTTCTTCCATCAACTATGTGACCTGTCTGGGTGAATCATATCATCTTACCGGGTTTCCAAATACCTCGGATCCAAGCAAATTCCAATCGATCTACCTAAGGAATTTCAGGCTTCAACTGGTTCAGATCTTGTTCGGCGAGACTTGTGTCACCAAAAGAGTTCACAATAAAAATGATGGGAACAAAAAGCCATCAATCTGTTGCAATTGGAATATCAAAATGAATCTTAATTTTTTTTTAAAAAAAAAATATATATATATATAAACATCAAATCTGTAATTAATTTCAAAAACTACCAGTTTGAAGATCAAGGTATCCCATAAATCACTTGGCAACCACCTCACCTCGCTCAGGTGGGATAGCCACTGGCGGGGTGTCTCCAAGAACACCAAAGAAGTCTTGCAAGGCACCCGCATCCTATCCCCACATTTGGAGGCCACATGCAAAAGGGGGTGAATGGTTCTGAATCTTTTTTTGTTGGGGCAATGTCTCAAAGTTGATGTAAGTTACCTTGTAAACTCAATGGTTTGGACATGTTTTCTCGATTTTGTTGAAGCCCAGCAATGCTATTTAAAAGCGTTCCATTGTGCTAAGACCATATGTATCCAAAAAACTATTGCAGTAGGGTTTCATGCAATCTCCCCATAAGTTTTGCCCAAAAAAGATGGGATCACTAGGGAAGGTTGGAACAGTACTTATACCTTTCGAAACAATAAATTCAAGAATCTTATCAGAAACAGAGATTGTGCATGTTTTGAAAGGAGCTAAAATGTTGCTCCCCTTTGTTGCTCCATACGTCATTTTCCGCAGTATGCTAAAAAAAACATCCTCGGGTAAGTTGAAGTCGTTGGGATCGTTCTCATCCTGAAGCTCTGACAACCTCAGTCAAGGTGGTCCACAAATGGCCTCAGTTTGCCATGGTGAAACATGAACAACTGACTACCTGGCATTTAGAAAATCTCCAAAAGGATTTCAGCCTACCAAAACATTCGTCCTTGCGAGAAGTTACCTTTCCAACAACAAACAGTAATTAGCTTTTTCAACTTCAATGATTTTGTTGACCATCCAAGAGTAGTATCCCTCCAGGAAACTAACATATTTCACCCAAAGAATCGAGCTGGAAATCAATCCTCCAAGAGAACCCCGTTTCATACCCCTGTTTTTGATGACTAAGGCATCCCCAACTCCCGAAAGGAATTGAATTCCCTTCATAAACTTGTTGGTTGGGGATCTGGGGTATGTTCCAAGGGTATGTTGGAAAATTCTTAGAAAAGCCAACTGCTGGAGACCCCCATGTTGAGCACCCCTGGCAGTTGCTCCAAGATATCAGGCCTTAAGGACTCCATCCCGGGTTTTGTGGGGAAAAAATGCCGAGAATGACCCATCTTGAAAATTCGACCCCCCAAAAAAGATGATAGGTTAGTAGTATGTGTATTACAGATTTTCATATATACATATGTATATACATGATAGATATTTGAAAAAAAATATATATATATATATATATTATGTAGAGATAAAACGTAGGTGTCTAATGGTGTCTATATGATATCAGTTTTCGTAAATTAATCCACATTTAGTTTTTTCTGCTGACCACGCAGGTCTGGGTCAACACACTTGTAGTTCACCGGCACCTGACAAACACGGCCCCCCACCCAGGATGCCATCGTCACCACGGCCCAAAACTACTTATATAGGCGAAGTCAAATGACGTCATCAAAATGCCAATTTATCCGATGGGAAAAGTTCTCATGGCACCAAGCATGAAGAACCTGAACTCACCTACTTCTTCAAGCATTTTCTTTTACAAGAAAATTAAAGGACCGGATAACCCCACATGTAAAGATCCCAGTAGGAGAATGAAGGAGTGTGTGAGTAAACAGAGGAGTGAGTGCTGGATCGTGTATGATGTGCACGCGCGAGCGTGTGTATCTGTGTGTGTGTGTGTCTGTGTGTGTGTGTGTGCGCGTGGGTGTGTGCACGTGCGTGTGCATTAGGGCCTTAGGTCAGAGTTCACGGCCAAGGTTCAAAAATGCAGGGCTTCCAAGTTTGAGGGGTTTCAGGTGGGGTTTTGGAGGTCCCTCCGCACCTCATAGCCCAGGTATTCGTTGCGGATCATCATGACCTCAGCGTGCGGTTGAAGCCTAAAACCAGCTGGGGATCTCCTGCAAGGGCTAAACAGTCTACCTGTGGGCCAGGTACGAAGTGGGAGATCTAAGCCATGTAGGCCCAGCAGGGCAGAAGCTACATCTTTCGTGCAGATATCAACCGCAACACCTTTTCTTCCCAGGCCGGTCAATCAGGGTCCCTGCTTTGCAGGCTCGAACGTGCCATAGGCACTTTCATACGAAGCTCCTTGCATTGGGCCGCGATTCTGCAACTGCTCTTCGCTTTGTTCACCTGTGGCGCTCTGCGCAAGGCTTCTCTCGACGATAAATGCTGCCGCTAAGCCTAATGCGCAATGCACCGCACAGAGGGCCAGCCAACGGGCCAGCAAAGAGACCTTCACGATGCGGTTGAAGATCATACCGAAGAAGACATATGTCGAGAAATAGCCCACCCTCATCCATGCAAGCACCACCAGCCCAGCAAACAGCACACTGCGACACAAAGCCATAAAGCAAACACCTCTGGTCTTGAGCGCTTGCCTCTCATGGCCTTCATCTTCTGCATCCTCACACACAAGCCAAAGCGGCCCGCAAATGCCCGACGTCAGGCACACGGCAAATCGAGCACGAGAAAAGGCAAAGGCAAGGACCGCTGAGGCCGCCAGAAACACGAAAGAACCTACGATAAGGCGCTGAAATAGAGGCCAAGACCATTCTATTGCCGGTAGAAATGATGCCTGCAACGGCAGAGTCTCTGCAGGCCGATAATTGCGCAAAACCATGGCAAGCTCTTGAACTGCAGAATCCTGCGCATTAGACTGCCCCCCAATATCAACACGGTCTAGTGCCTTGATGGTACCAGCCATCACTTGTGTCGCAGCGGCAGTGAATACCTCCGCTGTTGCACCCAAATTGAAGGCCAAAGGTGCTGCCGCACATAGTAGCCAGGTTGTCACAAGACATGCCATGTCGAAAACACCATACATGATCACGGCGCCTGTGAACAAGTAGTTGCGAATCTTGCTCACTGCCAAGATCTTCTTCAAGATGGGCAACACGGCCACCATCAGCAAGCAGCCCGTCTGGAACAGCTTTACTTTCCATCCAGACTTGACCTGAAGCCAAACAGAGCCACCAATTGCCAATGTCCACGGCCGGCGTTGCCGCATTGTTCTTGTTGGCTCATTATCCATTTTACTGAGAACAAGTTCGCGGAATCCATCCACAAGTGTACGCCAAGAAATCTGAGAGACTCTTATCACCATGCCAGCGAGGCGGTGCTTGAGACTACCCTTGCGCAACATCTTGAGGAGTGCTGGTTTCAATGTCTCTTCCTCTCTGTAGATCGATTCAAATGCTCGCTCCACGGCAAGAGCATTCAAGGCGGCAAGGCTGCCGGAACCAATCCCCCCAAACTCAATTCTGTCCCAAAGCGCAGGAGCAAACAACAGCCAATTCTGGGCCAAGTCCTGATCTCGGGGCAGCGTGTCATACTCCCACACTGAATCACTGCAATGGGCAGCACGCCAAAATTGATTTTCGACTTTCACGCCTGCTTCGGCATCTCCGCGAATGAATCGCTTATGCTCCCATGGAATCTTGTCTGCAAGCCTATCCAGGAGCTGAATCCTGTCCATCTGCGAGACATTTACACCATCCCTGCGAGTATCTCTCACAAAGAGTGATCGATTTGCAAGATCAGGAAACACCAGGACGGGAAGTACTCCCATAGTGGCAAACATCTGACATGTCGGGATTTCCATGAGGAGTCGGAGCGACAAAATGAAGCTCATCATAGCAAGCGGGAGACTCCTCCAAATCGAGTTCCTGAGCCGCAGCTTCTCCCAGTCGTGACAGTCCCTGCCCTTGACAACATCTGATCCATGTTTCCAAGCTAGATAAGGCGTGTCCAAGTCCACCGCAGCCATGCAGGCTTCCACATACAGGCCTTGCTCAAACAAGGTGAAGAAACCCAGCAGGCTGGTCACGATGATGCCCACCACGACCACCACCACTGGAGCAAGGAGCTCAATATCTGTGTCTGGTAAAAGCTGCCATGCCGCTCTGCCATTGTTCAGCAAGTCAGCCCAGCTTTTTAGCCAAGCCCATAGTAGCAAAACGATCTCGACAAAGCGGCGGGCCATCATGAACCCCTCCCTGGAAGACTCTCTCCGACTTGCTGCGGCCTGTTGTGGATGTGCTGGTGCAATCATCATGGGCACCCTGCTCACCAGAGGCCACACTTCCGCCTCAGGCCTGAAAGGCCCGTCCGGCTGGGGCCCTCGAACCATTATGGAAACCGCCTCGGCCATGGACCGAAAGCGGGCGAAACCTGTCTGCTTAGATCGTTCGTCACGACCACCTTGATTGGATGGCCGCTTTTCTAGGCTTGGGCCGCGTGCAGGAAAGGCGAAACTTGAATCCCACGTTCTCTGCAACACAAGCTTTGTACAGAAGTCGGGGTGAGAACGACATGCAAAGCAGGCGGCATGCCCCACATCAGCACCCGTCTACGTGCCGTGGGACCTCCTGAACCTCAACCCTAAACTCCTGAACCTTACAACACCCTAAACCCGTAACCCCTGAATAACCCTAAACCCTTCTACAAACCCGAAACCCGGAACTCAAAACGATCTTCCAAGAGCTCTAGTATGATACCAATAAATGCACCAAAGTGATTCCGCTCAGGGTTTTTCAGCACATGTGAAGGTCAACATCTGAAGGTTTATGGTTGATGTCGACCCACGAAGATTCATGGCAAAGATTCTATACGCGAAGGCTAAAGCCAAAAACAAAGCTTCAGACATGATCCAAGTGACAGTCCCAACAAGATGCCGCCTTCAGCCCATGGGTTCCCTTAAAGACCTGCGAAGCAACTGGAAGGCTCTCACCTGCTGCGACAGCGAGGGGTGCGTCGAGCCACGTTGAAATCGTTAGTTCCGAAGCCGCGTCTGGGAAGGTTGTCTTTAAAAGTGTGCTTGCAATATCGGTTCGCAACCACAATGCCGACAGAATGCTTTTGGTTTGTTTCGCGAATCTTTAAAGATTCAGGACATCGGTCAAGCAACTCATGTGCTGTGCCCCACAACCACATTTGGGGGTGCAGTGTTCGGAGACATATACTTGGGTCGGCAGGGGCTGAGGCATGACGGGGCTAGGCTGTGCTCTTCAATACACGACACTATCCCATGCTTGTGCGGTTAAAAGAGACGAATTAGCCTGCCATTGAGCTAACGCATCGAGCGAATACCGCCCCACGGGCGTCCTAAAGCCAAAATCTTACTCGAGGTGCAATGCCTCTTGTGAAGTATGTGTGTGTTATACTGAGGTGTTTTCACTGTTTTGCTCTGGTTGCTTACTACTGATATCCTTTACCTCAGTGTTCATAGGATTGTTGATTGTTAGCTTGTTACCTTCCTTACTCAATACCATAAAACCGTTCTCAAGAAACCTATCGTTGAGCAGTAACTGTCGTGTATGGTTACGACCATCAACCATTTCTGACGGCGCATCGTCTTGCCTCTTGTATTTATGTTTATACCCTTTCCTTTCCTCACTGCATTGAACACAACTGTTTACTATTTCTACTGTATCCGAACTCTTCAATCGTCCTTTTACAGTGGCAGCTTGCACTTGTTCAACATTCCATGTTATATGTAACAGACACTCTTCATTTAAGCGGTTTCAATTTTCCCCCTATCATTATATGTGTTCATAGAATCAACAAGTAACCTACCCGCTTTAGAATAACAACATCTTCGAACATGAGCTCAAGTTGGGTTCCAGGGCGGTGAGGCTTAGAAGCCACTAGACCTGGACGTTCGAACCTACAAACAACTGGCCATAATCACTGGCTCCAGAAACATTGCGAGGCGGACAGCGACCTGTTTTGCGGCTAGCTTCGCAGTGCAGGCACTTGCAGATACATTGAACTGCCCTTACACCCAATCGCCGCTCACTTCGTCCTGCAGATGGTGCTCTTAGATGAGACGGGTGAATGCAACGGACCGCGTGGCCCTGGCTGTACCAAGCATTGAGTCTTGAGGATCAACGAGCCGAATCGCACTCTGCGACCCTGCCCGGCCCGGCTTCTTGAAACTTTCCCCGTGCCTCCGTGGACTCCTCGTCCTCGTCGCTGAGGTTCGCCAAGATGGCGTCGACCTCCGCTTGCGCTCAGAAAACGCCTCCGAGCGAAGCATGCGCCGCCGACCACCGAGCTCCTGGCATCGCCCGACGACATGCTCTGGCGAGTCCGGCTGAGAGACGTCCCTACGAAAGCACGGGAGATGCTTTGGGCTGCGTCTTTAAATGACGGGTCGGCTCCACCTGGGCTCTGTTCCAGACGAAGATCCGGGAGCCTCGGCCAGGCCCAGGCCCTCCCCCGCTTCAAACGGAGATGTGTAGATACAGTTATTACAGACTTACAGAGTGACAGAATATACCCAGACTTTATGGTATGGATATGTACACAAACACCTCCTTGCTATGTGCGTACTACAGTATGCATACATTGGAATACGTACACATACGTGAAAAGCCAGAGACAAGTAAAAAGTGCTACGGATTTATGCATGTGTGTCGGCATGCATGTCGGCATTCATGTGTATATGTGTATATGTAAATACGGAAATCAACCGAGACACACACATTATATGTGTATATTATATAATGTACATATACAAACACATGAGAGAGAGAGAGAGAGAGAGAGAGAGAGCGGTGAGGGAGGCATGGAGAGCTTCATTTTGATACAGCTCCAGGTGCATGCTTGGTTCCACACCTGGGTGGGGCAGCGGGCGGCGAAGGCGTTGCGGCTGCAGGAGCCGTCTTCGCTGATGCTTCCTGCACTCGGCAACGCAGTCTGCTGGGCACCCTCGGGCGCTCTGAAGCACGCGAAGGGGGGCACTTTTTGAGGCTTTGAGCGATCTCCGGAGATCCGTCTCAGCTCGTCGCTGCCACTTTGGCCACGAGAGCCGAGCGCTCTCAGAGCATCGCCATGGAGGCCGCGGCCTTCTCGGCAATCATGACCTGAGCCGGACGAAAACAAACCGCTGAGAGCCCGTCCCTGAAGAGTTGCATCCTCGGGCCAAGATGCCGTCGGCACCTCAAGGCGCCGAGGAAAAAACACCTCTCCGACGCTCGAAGCTCACGGGCCCCTTGGCCCCCTGCGTGCGTGTTGCCCGAAGTGATCGTGGGCATGATGGAGCAGTCCACCACGCGCAGGCCCTGCAATCCGTGCCTGAAGAGCGCGCAAATCAGCTCGTGCTTGCAGAGAGGTTTGCAGGCTTTGGCTTCTTTCTTCTGATGGAGCTCATATAAAACCTAAAAGACATGCAGCGTGTCGGAGGCTGAATGGTCGAACTTGTCTCAAAGAGTGCCACGACCAATGCATGACCTTTTTGCGATGTCATTGATCTAAACCCTGCTCAAAAACCTCCTTCGGCTGCTGTGAACTCTGAGACTTCTTCTGCTTCAAAGGTCCAGAAGAAAGCTACGAGTAATTGCTTGAAGTCGGAGCACACCCGCAGCATGGGATCCACCACTGCCATCTCGTCACTGTCGGGTCCCATCTTGCATGTTCCGGCCTCGGATCCACAACATCTACAGGAAAAACTCGCTCCGTATGACATCTGAGATCCCTGACCGGATGGTAGATGGTCTCAGCTACCTCCCGCGCATAGTTCACATCCAAGGACTCCGGCATCTCCACCTCCGAGGACTCCGACTTTGGAGAACCGACGGAGACCGTGCTCTCGTGCGCTCGCTCTCTCCCGGCCTCCTTGGCAGCGACTTCACGCAGCAGCGGATGTCGGGAGACCTGCCGAAAAGCGCGAGTACGTCCACTCTGCCGCCGCGGCCCTGGCCTCACGGGCGAGCTCGAGGCTCTTCACCGCCAGCGCGGCATCTCCAGGCGTTGACAAGTAGTGTGGCGAGATCCGGAGCCTCGGAGTACACAGAGCCCAGATGGGCACCATGGCCCTCCATCCTCCCTGAGCATCCGAGCACTTTCTCCGATCCTTCGGGACCTTCAAGACCCCTTCAACCCTAAACCCTGCAAGGCCAAAGGCCCCTTAAGGGCCTTCCGTCCGGGAGCAGCTCGACACGGCCGCGGCTCTCAGGCCTGGCGAGGCTTTCGCTTTCTCCTCTGTTGACAGCATCTTGAAGCGATTGAAACGGCTGCACTCTCTATTACTCTCAAGAGACCCTGCTGGTAAACGATGCTTTCTCAAACGGCGTCCTGGGGAGCCCGTTCCTAAAGTTGAGCTGGGCAGAAAGATGCAGGTCAATGTCCACGGATTCTGCGCACCGACCTGCCTGAGAATGCAGACCGACGCGGTGAAAGCATCGAAGGTGTCCAAGAATACCTTGGCATCAAAAGTCGGCTTAGACTGTGTGGGTCGCCTACATGCTCCGCTTTGCTGGCAGCGGGCGATGGGCGACAAAAACATGGCCAGAGCCGGACCAGTCTAGGTTCGATTTTGGATCTGCAGCAGGAGAAAATCAAATTGAGAGAAACAGAGGGTTTGGCGGCTTGGCGCCTTTCTGCTTCTCAGCTTTGGCAGCATGCACCAGATGAGGTCTGTTCTGCGGGAACGCGAGCACGACATGCAACAGCCTCCTCTTCGAATCGCACATGTGCAGCACTTTCGAAGGTAACCCAAGTAGATACAGGTGGCATATGCTATGCAGGCCTGCAGCGGACTGAATGTATCGGTATAGACGGTATAGAGCTGGACACTCGGGGCCCGGGTGGGACAGCGCTCCCCCCGAACCCACAAAACACACCCCGAGGAGGACTTGTTTTGGAGTGCAGCCCAAGGCACAGCCGGCGTACCTGGCAGCAGGGGGTCGCTTGGCAAAGAGAAGGGTAAACAAAGCACGTCAGGTCCGCCAGGCGCCTGTGGTACTCAGCGGCTGGAAGTGGAACTGCAAGTCCGGGGGACTCGACGAGTTCCTGCAGGGTCTTAAAATCGCTCGCGTCACCTTTTTAAGGCAGCTCCGCTGCTAATGGACGGCCTGACGGAGGGAACGAAGGCGCAAACCTGGGAGGCCGCCATCGACACGGGCCCCGTGCGGTCTTTGAGGAACTCGAAGGCGTAACGCAAAGCAGCGCTGCTCAGGGCCGCTCTTGTCCAACCCAGCAACCCACCTTCCGTCACGAACCTCGCCAAGCGCCCCACCTGCGAGTTCAAGGTGGGAGCCCGGACGCGGAACTTGGGCCTCAGGGCGGCACAGCAAGGCTCTACGATGCTCTACGGCTCTTTGTCTTTGGCACAGATCATCCCGCCTCAGTTGGAGGTGATCTTGCAGGTTCTCGCCGACGCCGGGCAAGGCATGAACACAGGTCACCTTGGCCTTTGCCAAGCTGCTCGGGGCTCCGATGCCGCTCTTCAGAAGCAGCTGCGGTGAGCCTAGCGCCCCGGCGCAGAGAGCCACTTCCCCGGCACTTATCACGTGCTCTGTGTGGCTTCCACAGCGCACCCGGATCCCCACCACGCGGCAGCCATCCAGAATCAACTTCTCGGCCTGCCGCCACAGCATTGCAGACCATGGCACTCCGTCTCTCTGCTCTGGCTCTCTCTCTGTCCCTCCCCGTGTGGAGGACCTTCGCCAAACAACAACAGTTCGAAAATTACTCCGCAGAAGTACGAATCCCAAAAGTGATTCCCGTACTCTATATCCCTCGGAACAACTTGGTGTCGCCCACCCTGGCCTCCCAGCCTCCCAGCCTCCTCCCTTCCTGCCGCTTTTGCCACCGCCGCCTTCTTTCGCCCACCGCCTCCTTCGCTGCTTTCGCCCGCTGCTGCTATCACCCCCGCCGCGGCCGCCACTTTCCCCACTTCCGCCGCCGCCCCGTTCTCCCCTTTGGTTGTGCTCCCTCTCTCACCCAAAATAAATCAACATGTCACGTCTATCTGGTTGTACGATGACATCAATGCACGCAGATTCCTGCGCATGTACGTAGATGCACACAAAATGGAACCGAATGTATGCTCAACTCAAATGAAATGTCTAAAGCCTAAAATAAACACGAGAAGCTGAATGGGCCTTCTTTCCCGCAACCTATATAAGTGAGGCATTCGAACGTAAGCCAACAATTCGAAGCTCCAATCTCCCCCTCCTCAGCATTGCAGAGGATGTGGAGATTGCTCCGCTGGTGCCGAACTTCATGCAAAGGCAGTGCGCTAGAGCATCGGAAGCCGCCTGGGGTCCTGATCGCAATGCACATGCAAGGCTGTCCCTTGGCGAAATAGCTGCAACAGCAACATCATTCGAGAATGACGATGATGATGACGATGATGATCGTGAAGATGATGCTGATGATCATATGTTCATGACTCGAATCATGACCATCATCATCATGCCAATGCTATAACTTTTGATGACAAAAGAGAGTGCTACTCCTCTTGATGATCTCTTGAGGGCCGGGCTTGAAGTTGGAGAAGTACGCCACCCCGGCGCCCTGGGACTCGGGGTCCGCTGCCACGAGGCTCATGTCCCGGACGCGGGGGACGCCGCAAACCTCCGCGCAAGCCTCCGACCACCTCTTACCGCCCAAACATGGCTTTAGGGCGTTGTAGGGGGCGTTGTCGCTAGGGTATAAAAAGCTTTGGTCACGGTTAAGTTAAGTTGTGGCTTCTTGGAAGGGGCTGCTCAAAGCGCCGATTCGGGCTGCAGCTTGGGTACCGCTCTGCAAGGTCCGTGCGGTAGCTGCCGTCGCAGACACTCATAGGTCCGCCGGTGCCCCGATCAGGATGATCGAAGGGGGCATCCTCGCAGCGGCGGAAGTGGGGAAGGAGCTCCTCGTAGCTCCAACCCTGGTTACCAGCAGCAGCCCAGGCATCGTAGTCGTGCTTCAAGCCCCGGATGTAGAGCAAACCGTTCAGAGCGGAGGAACCTCCCAAGACCTTCCCGCGAGGCCATGCAAGGCTTCGGCCATTCAGCCCTGAAGTCTCCCCATCCGTCCGGTACCTGACGGGTGCATATCTTCTGGGAACCGGGGGTGATGAGAGGAGGGGCTTTCGTTGGGAGGGGGGCTCCCAAGCCTCCAGTCGAAGGAGCTCCCGATCGCCTTGAAGTAGAACACGGGCACATGCAGGAACGGGGAGTTGTCCTTGTATAAGCTTTTCCGACACGGCTCCACACCGCTTCCCTGCTGAGTTTCGGTGGGGCCTTCAGCCGAGTCGCCTGGCGCCCAGCCTCCAGAAGGAGGACCTCTCGCTTCGGGTCCTCGGAGAGGCGATAGGCCAAGTGGGCCCCGGCGCTGCCGCCCCCGACGACGACGACCTGGAATGGAATGAAACCGTATACATGTATAGGGAAAGAGATGTGCCCTTGCACCTCTTAGGGAAGCTCTAAAGAGACATGCAACCGACTACCTCTGAAGCCCCTGACACCCTCCTACACTACTGTACAGTTTGGGGCTTCCCTCTGTGAGGCTTAGCCGCTTAGCGGCATCGTAGGAAGCGCGGAGCCTGGGCGTCGGGATCGGCAAGAAGGAACGCAGCGTGGCAGAAATGCGCGAAGGCCGCAAGCGCATGGGAGGTGCATGGATGCGCTCTCGCTCGAATAAAGCATATATATAGGGCTCACAGACTAGCGGCTAGTGTGTGCTCGGATGCTGCCTATAGAGCCCGACAGGAACGACTGCGAGCTATGCAAGTGCCACCATACGTAGGGAATACATGTATATACTCCTACCCCCTACCCTACACCCACATGCACGTAATACTCACACAATGCATGTCTGATGAGCCCGAAGCAATCTTCGGATCTCACTTCCCGCTCATCTCTCAGAACCTCGTGAACAAGCAGACCTCAACCCAAAAGTTGAAGACCTGTTCGGCGTCTCGGCGTTGAAAAGCATAGCTTCGAGCCCTATTCATCCTCTCCGTCTCCAAGATATCGTGGAAGAAACGAGCCCTAACTGAACTAGGAAGGCCCCAAAAGAGCTTCTCTCCTCAAAACCCCGACAACTCCCGAGCCTCTCCAAAACACACACCGTTTCACCTAACAGAAACTGCAAAGAAAGCAAGCTGTGTACAGCAGCTTCCCCCCCGAAAGCCTCCCCCCCCTTCGATTCCCCTTTTTGGGGTTTTTCTCGGAGGTCCTGGGCCCGCTGGGCCGGTGGAACCGGGCTCTCGGAAGCCGCGGCCTCCTTGGCCTCCTGGGAGGAGCTCGGGCTCTTCAGGCTCGCCAGGGTGCTCTCCCGCAGAGTCCGCGTCCTGCGCAAAGAAGAAAGGGCACGAAAATATCTAGAGATCTCTAGAGAGACTCTAGACTCCAGAGGTAGTCGATTTGAGTTCCTTGCCTCTCTTCTGACTCACGCTGCTCTGCCAGTAGCTGTTGCTGCCACCACTCTTCCTTTGCGTTCGTCGGACTGGAGCATCCCTGCCAAAGGCCAAGGCAAGTTAAGTAAGTCGCACGACTGCACACGCGAGCACACGCAAACACAGCCGCGGCACTGCGCACTTTCCTCAGCAGCCGAGCGATGCGTGCTCCGTGCTTGTCGGATTCATGATGCGGGCAGGTTACCTTGGGGTTGTGGCCTTGTCATCTTTGGAATGTTGCCCTTGCCACTCTTTTCACTTTCCATTTGCTCCAGCCATTCCGAACCGAATTCGCGCCGTAGCCAGGATTGTGGCAGGGCGCCGGTTGGTCATGGAGGTGCTTGCTGTCTTCACGGCCTAGCTCTCGGGCGGTATGGGATCACTCCATGGACCGCTCAGTGCGTGTAAACATGATACTGTAGCAGCTCCCTGCTGGAAGGGATTCCGACGATTCTGTTGCAGAATCGTCGGAACCTTCTTCTTGGATGAGTGCCAACTGTGGGTAGCTTTCATTTGGCACGACAATATAAGTGCTCCTGGACGTCTCCTTGCTGCTGCCACCTCACGTGACACAGCTCCTGCAGCTGCCGCTGTAAATGCAGCTTTACTGACGCTTTTCGCTGCATCACACAAAGAGAGAAGCATGCCTCCTTCAACACACTCAAGGACTCTAAGGCAGTGGGAGATGCCGTCCGAGGAAGCCACACCCCCTCGTTATCGGCACAACTGGGACAGGCTCGAGCCGGAGGCTGGGGGTTGGGCTTTGGGCATGATGTCCAGTACGGGCGAGGGAGCAAGTCCCACAGCCAGTTGCTGCTTCGAAGCCGCTGTTCACTCTTACTTGGTCTTGGTCTTCCCCTTTACAACCTTGCTTTCCCGCGGCCTGGTCGTCCGCTTTGCCGATGTCCTGAACAGAAACTTCGACGAAGGACGCCGGAGGTCGGAGGAGGCGAGGCTATGGAAAGACTTCGGGGGCTCGCTCCAAGATTGCCACGTCTCCAAATGTCAGTTTTTTGGATCACATGGAGCTCAGAAAACAAGGGAATAGAAAGTGCAGCAAGCCACATGCACGCCTGGCGATCTTGGACTTCATCTGAGAGTAACCAAGGCTGGCTTTGGTCCTGCGGAACTAAGAGCGAAGACTGTAAGTATACGCCCTCTTCAACCAGAACTCTGCCTGTGTTTTTGTTCGGACTCCTTATGAAGAAAAGAGCCCCAGGCCCGGCCTCGGTGTCCTCGGTGTGGGGGGAGAAGTTCAGCTGCGCGTCGCTCTGCGCAGGGAGCAGAGAAGTCGCTGCAGAGCAGACGTGTTCTGCATGTTAATGTTCGGATTCCAACATACTCTCAACTCCGTGCTCGACTCGAGGACTCTATCGGTTACGGCACCAGGTTTTGCATCAACCTCGGCAGTCGGAGCATCTGTTCGTCGACTCTCTCTGACTGTACACTGCCAATCAAAAGTAGTACAGCGGGTGCGGAGTGCCCGCAGCTCCCTGGAGTTACCTGGATGCAGAGCGCCACGAGGGTCGCTTGCACAAGAAGAATAATCGGCGTAGCTCTCTTCAAATGACTGTGAAGCACACGGCCCAACGGCTAGCTGCGCGAGGCCATGCGTTTGGCTTTGAGCTAATCCAGCTCCTTTAGGTTGGGGCCTTCCTGTACAGGAACCCCCACAGCCACAACCGGAGCGGGCGAAGACGGCACGCCGTTCCCCGGCACTGGAACACCCGGTACGCTGTTGTGATTGTGGGAGGCCGCGGCAGCTGCGGCTGCGTTGGCCGCGAGTCCTGACGTGGTCAAAAGCTGGCATAAGCGAAGACAGACAGACACACACACACACACAGACAGACAGACTGGACATGCCTTTTGAGAGTGGGGCCTTGCAGCAGTGCCTGCCGTGGATCTGGCTGTGGGTAGCTGCCGCCACTGCCGTGCGCCTGCGTGCCACGGCGATGCTGCCTTATGATGGAAATTCCTGTGCGGGCTACGAGCACAGGAGTCTTGACACTTTGACACTTCTCTCATCTATATGTCATACAGCTCGCCAGGCACTTTCTTTTGATCGGATCCGGTATCCGGCCTTGAAGGCTTCATCCAGGAGGTCGGAGACCGTCGTGGATGGGGCCGCGGGCACTTCTCGCAAAATCCTGGTCACCTGACAAGGATGCCGGAGTTGAACAGAGAGGCAACTGTGCAAAAGTAGGCTTGGCATTGACGCTTGGAACCTACAGAGACTACAGAGGCAAGAACTCGACGGGAGCGGAAGTAAGAGATTCAGAGCAGTCTTCTTCTGCTGGCCTCTTCTTGGCTCAGCAACTGGGCAGGCGGTGCCCTGCAAAGCAATCTGGGTGAATCTGGGCAGTGCAGTATAGACTCAGTGACTCAGTCGTTCACGAAAGCAACACTCCTGGGATTCACGACCACGTTGACTCTGCCCATCATTGCGGTGCCCACGACGCGAAGCGTGATGGGTGCTCGGCCCGCCATACCGGAGCTCTGGCTGCTGGACCAAATGCCTGCCGCGCGCATGTTTGTCCGACTTGATGACATGTGCAGAGGAGCTCCAGAAGAGCTAAACAACGCACGTCGGCCTCCGGCGTCCCCGAAGCCTCCAACAAAGATGGGGGGTCAAACAGTGGCAGTTTTATAAGGACTGTGAGACGGTGACAAATCCGCCTCCGAAGATGGCGGAGCCGTCTTGCTCCACTGCCACGCCGGGAGGGACGATGAGGGTGACGCTGCCCATGAAGGCAGTGCTGGAGATCGTGATCACCTAGATCTCTATCGGCCCACCTATACCTACCTCTACTACTACCAATAAAAGCATGGTGCTACATGCATTATACATGCAGCATCTTCATCTCTAATTCGTCGTGACGAAACATACTGTACGAGCAAGGAGGGGTTATGTACAGTAGTGCTTTCAGCCTAGCGGCGGGGTGTTGGAAGAGGGCCTGGGAGAAGTCGACGGTGGAGCCGCCCAGGTAGGCGCTGGCGGTGATTTCGCTGTCGGGCACCCAGCGGCCGTACTTGTCTGCTCCAGACAGGAAGCCAACGAAGCTCGCCATGGCTCTGCTCAAGGAAGCAACGATGCTCTGCGTGGATTCTAGAGAACAACCGAGTTTCGGACGCTTTAAAAGAGGTCTAGCCTAGTAGCATCTTTGTCTGCACAGCTTCGCGCATCCTTCTGCAAGAGCCGTTTCTGGGAAAATGCAGCGTTGCCCGAACAACACTTTCTTGGAGCCGAGCCAAGAGGACAACAAGCTTTGAGCGGAACTTTGGGAGAAGCGACGCGAGATGCCACGCGAAGCTCCCTGCTAAGAGCGGGCGCAAAGCGGAGGGGAGTGGGGGGGGGCGCGCCAGCTCCCCTTGGGCGTCCTCGTTGTCCTTCTCGAAGCTCGGAGCCCGGACCGCCGCGCGGGGCGGGGAATCGGCCGGTGGGGGTGGTGGAGGCTCCCGGAGCTCGGAAGCCAAAGGAGTCGCCTTGGCCTCGGGAAGCTCGGACCTGCCGCAAGAGAACATGGTCAGAGGCACTGCATCCGGGCAAGAGCTTCCCCTCCGCGCGGCTCTCTCTTTCTTGGACTTTCTTGGCTTCACCCCTCTTCCTCTGGTCTCCTGTGCTTCTGGCCAGAGGGCTCCACTTGTGGAAGCGGCGATTTCTCTGGCGTGGGGCCGTCTTGTGCACACAAAGCTGGGGCCCAGTTGAGCCATTCCCAGGTGCAAAGAGGCCCCAGGTCCAACAGGGGCTGAGTCCGCGAAGCCAGGCGCCCTCAGCCCAGAAGCTGAAGAACCTGCTACCAGGCGAGCAGGCATTTGCATGGAATGCAGACAACATAAGCCCAGGTCGGCTAAGCGCCTTGGCGTCCAGTGAGGCATCTTGGCAGGCTCGAAGGAGCTCTTCTTCCCGGAACCTCCCATCTGCCGGGACTTCTCTGAAGGAAGGAATCGAAGGTCTATGACGGTCTATGCAGAAACAGATCTTCTGAGGCTGCGGCGTCTGCTTCCAGTGTTTGAGCACCTGTGCGGGGAGCGTTGAAACCTTGCGGCCGGCCCCCGCGGGTTCACGCGCGGGCTCGCGCCTGCGAGGCCTCCTGCTTCAAGGCTCGGTGCGCTCCCTGTCAGGCCACCGGTCACTACCGGTCACTACCGGCTAAACCGGCACGGTGTCTATAGCATACATCCATGCATGCCGAGGGATGGAGGGATCGAGAGACAGATAGACAAGACGATAGATACAGGACAGTCTACAGTCTACATGCAAAATGAGAGTAACTGAATAAAAGCTGCTGCCCTGAGGCCCTATATAGGGCCCTGCGAGTAAGTCTCAAAAGGCTGTCTGCGACTCTCAGCTGCTGACCTGGCCGGCGCAGGTGGCCAGGGTCTTCAGGAACTCCGGCAGGTAGGGCACCAGCCGGGGCCCGAAGGCCTCGTCAGAGACTCAGAGGCTCCAAAGAGACATCCTGCTTAAAGGAACCCAAAAGTAGCATAGAATCGTATAGAATCGTATTATAGAAGAACAGTATAACCCTAAACCCTGAGCTTGTTTGGGTCCGATTTGTCCCCGACTCCGGTTGCTTTCCGTGGCCCGGTGTGGTGCCTTGGTGATCTCCGGCAGCCGCTCGCAAAGCCGCTGCTTCAGCAGGTGGTGATGGCCTCAGAGAGCCGAAGCCGAAGCTGAATCGCAAAGCGGAAGACGGATCCATATTATTATTATTGTTATTATTATTATTACTATTATTATTAAAATTATTATAACTATATAATGAGGAAAGTCCATGAAAAGGAAAGTAACTCGCATCGAATCGATCGAGCATCCGGCGGTACTGGGAGCAGGCAAAAGCCTCGACGGGAACATGACAGAATCTCAGAAGGCAGACTGGCAAGAACTGAGTCCTGGGTTCTTGTTTGCTGTTGTTTGCCATGTCTATTGCGGTCGGACTCCTGTGTCCTGGGTTCTTGTTTGCTGTTGCTTGCCATGCCTATTGCGGTCGGACTCCTGTGTCCTGGGTTCTTGTTTGCTGTTGTTTGCCAGGTCTATTGCGGTCGGACTCCTGTGTCCTGGGTTCTTGTTTGCTGTTGTTGGCCATGTCT